CACCATGCGAATGCTGAGACGATGACAAAGCTCAGGGTTCAGGGTTTAGGGGCCTAAAATCCTGAACCCTAAACCCTAAACCCTAAACCCCTAAACCCTAAACCCCTAAACCCTAAACCCTAAACCCCTAAAATCCTGAAACCCTAAATCCTGAAATATTTAAAACTCTAAACCCGAAAGCTCCTAAACCCTAAAACCCTGAAACCTTTAAAACTCTAAACCCTGAACCCTAAATCCTGAAATCCCAAAGCTCTAAACCCTAAACCCCTAAATCCCTAAACCCTAAATCCTGAAATATTTAAAACTCTAAACCCGAAAGCCCCTAAACCCTAAAATCCTAAACCCTAAACCCTAAACTCTAAATTCTAAACCCCTAAACCCTAACCCTAAATCCTGAAACGTTAAAACCTCTAAGCCCCAAAGCCCCGGCCTTGACTTCGACTCTCGCCTTGCAGCTGGACTTCAGCAGCTCCGCGAGATCCATGGACCTCGGCTCTTTTGCTTTAGGGCTTCCTAGGGTTTGGGGATTTAGGGTTTGAGGATTTAGGTTTAGGACCTCGGCTCTTTTGCTTTAGGGCTTCCTAGGGTTTGGGGATTTAGGGTTTGATGATTGAGGTTTAGGACCTCGGCTCTTTTGCTTTGGGGTTTTGGGGGTTTAGGGTTGTTTAGGGGGTTAGGGTTTAGGGGTTTAGGGATTGAGGGCTTAGAGGTTTAGGGCTTAGGATTTAGGGTTTATAGGGTTTAAGGATTTAGGTTGGCTCTTTTGCTTTAGGGCTTAGAGGTTGAGGATTTCAGGGTTTAGGGCTTAGAGGTTTAGGGTTTAGGGGTTTAAGGATTTAGGTTTAGGGGTTTAGGACCTCGGCTCTTTTGCTTTAGGGCTTCCTAGGGTTTAGGGTTTTGCAAGGGTTTAAGGATTTAGGTTTAGGGGTTTAGGACCTCGGCTCTTTTGCTTTCGGGCTTTGGGGTTTAGGATTTCAGGGTTTAGGGTTTGGGGGTTTAGGGTTTAAGGATTTAGGTTTAGGGCCTTAGGGCTTCGGATCCATAAGGCTTCAGGGTTTAGCGCTTCGGGTTTTGAGGCACTAGAGTTAAGGATTCAGGGTGCAGGGGTTAAGGGTTAATAAGGCTCTAGGCTTTATTGATGGACCCCAGCTCTTGAGGTGTTGGTTCCATGTACCCCAAGAAAAAGGATCCCTGTGAGGGTGCCTTTAAGGGTTGCTCTAAGGGGTACCATAAAGGATTGAATCGTTTAGGGTGTGGCGGCGGGGGTCAGGGGTTAGGGTCTATGTAGGGTTTAGGGTTGTAAGGTTCAGGGCTTAGGGTTTGTACGGTTCAGCGTTTAGGGGTTTCGGGGTTTAGGGTGTATAGGGTTTTTTCAGGGTTTATCGTAAGCTTGTAGGGTTTAGGATTTTGAAGGCTTTGGGGTAAAAAGGCTTTTGGCCTGTAGCTGTTAAGATAACGGGTTGTGGAGTTTTGTAAGGGTCTTGTCGTTATATAGGGCCCTGTTGGATTGTATAAGGGCTTATTATTTAGGTATTGGATTTTTGCCGGCTTCTTCCCAAAACCAAAGCCCTGAACTACTTCCCAAGGGACAGGAAGTCGCAGACGTCCTTGAACTCCACGGCCTGTCTGAACTTCTCGGCCTGCGGCGGGGCGGGGGAGGGATCCTGAGCCACAACCCCCCCACTACTTGAAGGAGCAGCGAGGTAGAAAGTTAGATTTTATAGGTTTGTATACTGGTGGAGATTTGAAATCGTGTAGAGCACTCAGAAGATCAGGGGACTAAGCTAGTAGGGTTATAGGCACCTGTTTCCAGCAATGTTATAGGAATAGTAAAAACTACTCTTCTAAATCTGGTTGCTAGGTCCCACAATCCTTTGAGTAAACCAAAGCCCTTTAGCCCCAAGCCCGAGCCTACAACCCACAACCCTGTAGCGTTTTAGGTCTTCGGCCCCCCAATCTTGCGACCCTGAATCCGCAACTCATGTCCGAAATTCGGATCCTAAGTAACGGAGGTTTCAAGGGCTAGCAAAAAGCTAGAGGAACCTCGAGACCCAGAAGCTCTATGATCCCCCAGACCAAGAACCCCTTGTGCAGAAGCTCCATACTGCCCTTACAAGCACCAAATAACACACTGCGTGAACCCCCCCTGCGAAATCTCGAACTCATTTGACACCTTAACCCTAAACTCTAAACCCTAAGCCTCAAAGCCTAAACCCTAAACCCCTAATCCCTAATCCCTAAAACCTACAGAAGACCACCGACATATTTCCTTGAAACATGGCACTCACCCGGCCTCAGGCCGTGTCACAATCCAACACGCTAGCCACTCGGCAAGCGGCCTGTGCAGGGGGTGTGGTTCATCTCCTTTTTGTGTCCGTGTGAAGGTTAGGGCTTGGGGTTTAGGGTTTAGGGGTTTCGAGTTTCGGAAGGCGCTTTAGGTTCTAATACAGGGGTGCGCATGGTTGGAAGAGAGAATTGGGGTATAACGTACTATATCTATATCTGAGTACTACAGCTAACATTCCAAGCCGGCTAGTACCTCAGCCTGCCACAACTCAACTTCTTGCAGTGCCCTTCTGCAATTAATTCATATGCACCCATATATACATATGTATATATACATATATGTATACGACATGTACGTATGTGTACATATATATATATATATATAGCTCTCTCTCTCTCTCTCTCTCTTTCTCCCTCTCATGTGTGCGTGTAATTCCTAAGACCCTGCAAGGCCTTTTGAGCCCTTCTTGTAACCCTCTAAACCCTAAACCCGAAACCCTAAACCCTAAACCCTAAAACCTAAAACCCTAAAACCCTAAACCCTAAACCCTTCCTCGGAAGCGAAAGAAGTCCTCGCGTGCGGCGCCTGCGCAGCTTCTCGTCGTACCAGGGCCGGCTCAGGAGAACCAGATGCGGCTGCTTCTGGAGCGTCAGGTGCTCGTAGCCTCTTGCAGTTTTTTAGGGTACCATAGAAGGATGCGGTTGAGGGCTCCTAGAAGGGTACTATTAGGGTTAGTAAGGTGTACTACATGGGGCCTCTTTCTGGATATGGGGTTCCTTTCAGGGTTCCTTTTACCATGAGGGTCATATAATGGCCTATGCTCGTAACCTCTTTCAGTTGCGCAAAGGGTCCTAAGTACCTATATGGGGGATACTTGCTGAAACCAGAATGGCAATTCCTGCCATAGTGACAGAAGTACCTAGAACGCTTTGGGTTGAGGTTGCCTGAAATTTGCGGGATTTTGGTTTCAAGGTGTTGACGGCTTCGGATAGGATATTCGAAGCATGGTTTAGGCAGAATCAGGCAACGATCGCTCGCCCAGGGCTTTCATTGAGGCCTTGCAGGCTTGCACGCTCAGGATCTAAGACAAGATGAGGGTCAGGGCTTGGGGCCCGAGGTATAGTGTAGAGTCTAGAGTTTAGGGCTTCATGGAGCATCACGAGCCAGGACATGGACTGAAACTGTCTGGAAGCTTTGTCGGACTGTACCTAAAAATATTGATATGAATGTGCATGCTTATGCCTGTTTGTGTGCATGTATGCCTAAAACTTCTCAGATGGGATCTTTAATCCAAGGATTAGGCAGCAAAGTCTCCGAAACTCGCTAACCTTGGCTGAACCCCAGCCGTGCCTTCTCTAACGATACTCGGAATCTCTTCCTCCAGCTGGGAGATGCGTGCGGCTGCCTCATCACCAACCTGCCGAACTGCAGGCAGCATGGTGCTTCAAGTCCTGCAGGTTTAGGGCCGTAGGCTTAGGGTTTAGTGGCCTAAAATTTAAGTTTAAAGGTTTTAGGGTTTAAGGGATTAGGGTTTAAGGGATTAGGGTTAAAGGCTTAGGGTTTCGACATCTGCACGCATGCCACCAAGACTCATCACACTGAGACCTACGAAGGCTTGGGTTCTGGGGTTGAGGGTTTAGGGTTTAGGGATTTAGGGTCGGGGGCTTGGGGACAAGTCTTAAATCTTAGACCCTTGCAAGCCAACAAAGCAAAAACCTAAACTCTTGAACCCCAAACCCCTTAATTATTCGTGGAATCCTTAAAGCCGTACAAACAGGGTTCTTTAAACCCGAAACCCTCATTCATGGAATCCTTAAATCCGTATAAAACAAAGGCTTCTGTAAACCCCCTCAACCCTAAACCCCTAAACCCCTAAACCCTAAACCCTAAAGCCCTAAAGCCTTAAAGCCTTAAAGCCTTCTGAAGGGTTCAAGTCCCAAGCTCTTGAAACCCGGGGCCTTGCCGATGCAATTCCGGATCTCCGGGTAGAAGGTGCCTGCTTCGGACGCTACTGGGGGTTTCGCTCTAGGGTTTCGCTTTAGGGTTTCGCTTTAGGGTTTAGGGTTTAGGGTTTAGGGTTTAGGGCTTAGGGTCTAGGGTTTAGGATTAGGGGGGGACTTGGGGTTTTGGACCCTCTCAAGATAAGGTCCCTTTTGAAAGAGCCATAATAAGAAGGGTTCAGAAGGGTACCGCAAAAAGGGGTCTCCCTCATACTGCCTAAGATCTACAGAGCCCTAAACACTAAATCAGTCCCAGGACCTTGGGGTTTAGCGTTTTTTTTGTTGGAGGGATTCGGGTTGGGCCTTAGGACACTTTAGCGGGATCTAGCAAGGTTTCGGGTACTGTGATGCTAGAAGGCGTAGGGTTTGGAGGGATTGGCTTGTATTGCAAGTTCGAGCTTGAATCTTATCACAAGGCTGCCAGACAGAGACCATAAATACCTCGATATGGCTAATACGGACATTCAGTCGATGACTTCATGCTTGGGGTTTCGAAAGGCCTTCTACCGGCCCAGGATAGATGCGAGGCGCTTGGAGAGACCAAGGCGAAATGATCTCGACATCGATTGCGGATTGAAACTGTGTAGTACAAGGGGTCGAAAATGGAAGCGCAGCAGAAACTTGGACCACAAAGCTAACCGCGCTATGTAGAGAATCAGAGGACTCAGTGCACAGGGTCATGAGGTTGCTGTAGACATACGCCCCACATCCCCAGCTTAGCTCCATACAGGGTTTGAAGGGGCTCTTAAGGTATCATGGGGAACTACCCCTGGCCCTTTAAGATCAATTGAAACCCTGCTAACACCAAAACTAGACATTAAACATGCGTGCAGCAACTGGCCTGCTGCAGCATGGCCCTCATCATTGAGGAAGAGGGCATCCAGAAGATGCACTGCAAGGTTCCAACGCTCGCAGCCAAGGTCATACCTAAACGGATCTAGGGCTCAGGGCTTGGTGTGTGTGTGTGTGGGTAATGTGTAGGTTTCTGAGCTACTATATGACCTCGGGCTGCGCAGCAACAAGCATCTGACAGCCAGCGAAGATTGCATCCAGTTTCGGGTGGGTCCGGCGGCCACAGCAGCGCCCCATGCTTGGTACACCCAGTTCAGCAACCGAGAATCAGGAACCTAAGCTGAAGAGCCAAGGAGCATCTCGAAATTGCCGATGGGGAAGTTGAGCTCGGACTTCAGCGGGTGCAGGACCAAGTCCACCTGCGCCGAACAACAGCACAAGCGAAAAACACAAAGCACTAACCGCGACAAAAAATACAACAACCATGGCGACGGCAGTGACAACGACAACACACAACTACATCCACGACGACGGCACGGTAACAACAACGCTCTCCATCACTCGATCATGTCATCACCAGCCACTACCACTGTCGTCGCTGCAACAAGCGCCAGAGCAAAAAATCAAAATCCTGCTTCTCATCCTCGTCCTGACCCTCCTTATCATTACCATGCACCTCAAGTCGTCACCTGCATCCTCTTCATCTCCAACAAAGTGTTCAACGTCATCATCGTTATGATTGCGATCGATGCGACGGTCGATGCCCTGATGATAAAGACGAGGACGATGACGGTCTTTCTTTCTTTCATAGGGCATAGGGGGCGTGTCAAACCCCCTGGCCTTGTGGCCCCCCACATGTTATGGGGCGGCAGGGGTACAAGTAGTTGAGGGTATGATGTCTACGATGACGGTCTCTCTCTCTCTCTCTCCCTCTCTCTCTCTCTCTCTCTCTCTCTCTCGCACACAGCCACAGGGACACTCAGACACACAGTCAGACCCAAACGCGGGAGTCAAGGGCTCATGTTCCGAAGTGCGGTCTTCAGGAAACTCCTTGCCCACGCCTTGCCTCATCGATAAGAGCGCAGCTGTTGTTGCGCAGCATCGCCTTGCCCAAAGCTTCCAAGCAGCAATGTAGTCGTCTCTTAGTAGATTAGTAGATGTCTGGGGCCCTCAAGAATATACTGTACTCTTACATGGACCCTTTAGGTGACGATCACATGATGCAATTTGGAACCTGGTGGGGTTTTCAATCTTCCTGTCTATTTCAGGCATACAGCCATACCACACTGCCATACTCGCTAAGCAGTTGGAGTCCTAGGTTTGCCAATGCCGCTCCAATCGAATGCTTCCACCGGACGAAGCAAATGCGCATTTTGACTACCCAGATCGCACAAACTATTATGGAAATGCTCGGCAATACTGGAAACCAGGAGGAGGCTGTGAATACATCGACAGTCAAGGCCAGGGACCAGCGGAGGCTCTTTGGCAGACAGACACAACTGTGTTGTGCTGCCAACAGTCGTCGTCTTAGACTTAGCAAGTAGCTAGACACACACACACACACAGGAAGGAAAAGGAGGAGGAGGAGGAGGCGAAGCAAACCACAGCAAAAAAGCAGCATATATACTAATTGCGAATAGAAGTACACATACAATATGTGATCTACATGTCTCTCTGTCTCTCAATAAAAGTATATGTATGTGCATATATATATATACATATACCTGTGTATACACATACACATACATACATACATACATACATACATACATACATACATACATACATACAGACATACATACATACATACATACATACATACATACATACATAAATATGTATATATATATATATATATTGTTCATGTATGTGTATACACATACATATATGTATGGCCCATGTGGCCCCGAGCTGCAAACTCCCCAAGACAGATATTGCGAAAAAGAAACCCAGAACTCAACACCACAAACCGTAGATAGATACGTCAAACGGAAGAAATTTCGAACTGTAGTTCGACAACGCTCTTTCAGGCTGCTGATGGACACGCGTAGCTTCATTTATGATTCAGGCTTCAGGACTATAGGGTTCGCGGTTGACGGCCGGACGCGGGTTGTTTCTTCAGCTGCTCATCAGATCGAGCAGCCAAGACGTCGCCGATGAATCCCGCCATTACCCTGTTGCCCTCCACCTCCTGCGTGATAAGACTTGCCGAACTTGACTCTTTGCGACTACCCTTTCCTACCACACAGTTGCTACTCCAACTACTTCAGGTGATTCTGGGTGCAGCCGTTTGGATTGGTACTTGCTACTGGGTGTTCAAGGCTCTGGGAGCAGGTTACAGAACATTGACTGGACATCTAAGACACTCGAATGCCGATATGGTGTAGTGAACTCTTCGACTTTATGGCCGACATCTTGCATAGCTTACCAGTTTCTACTTGACTGCCTTTGGGTGTCGTCTCCACCAGTTCAACAAGGGGCTACCATGTTTCTGAACCAACCTAAAACCCCCAAACCCTAAGCCATAAAACGCTAAACCTCAGGCCATCCTTGTTCACATCCTGCATTCGCTTCTTCAGCCGCGTCTGGGACACGGAATCTTTGGCCTCACAATCAATCTGCAGTATAACGTTCAGCGCTGAGGGGTTTAGGGTTTTGGGCTTTGGAGGGTGGTTTAGGTTTTGGTCACAGCAGTATCACTACTCCGGTTACTGCGATACTCAGGCTAACATGTCTTCACTGTCTTTCTTTGCGGCGTCTTTAAGACCATGGCGGAGGGGGGCCTTCAGAGTTGGGTTGCACTGGGTGTACACGGGTGGCACGGATTGAGTCAACTTTCCGGCGACAACAAGAAACCGCAAAACCACGAAGCCGTATGATTGACTTCCTGCAATAGCTACTGTCGCACCTACGTTTTGCAGGGGGATCCTCTCACTGAGCTGTGAACCATAGTCCCACAGAAAGGAAGGTTCTAGTATTGAAAGTTGAAAGGCACATCCTAAACTTTGTAGCACGCTGCTGCGCCGTCAAAACTAGACCTGGTCAGAGACGCATGCTTCGGGTTGAGGTCAAGGATAATGGGTTTAAACTTTCAGGTTTAGGGCTTGGACCCGAAAACCTAATCAGAGACGAAACCTTCGGGTTTGAGGTCATGGGCTTGGGCGTCAGGGTTTAGAGCTTCGACCCTAAACCCTGATCGTCACCTAGGGAAGCGCGATTGGAACAGGTAGAACTGAACACCGATCTGGGTTGACAGCTTCATTGCTCTAACATTGGGCCCTGAAAAGGTGGAACAGGGCTTATAGGAGGTAGTATACGGTAATAATATTGGATGGGGACTACATAGGCCCGGCGATGCTACCCTCTGCCAGTTAAGGAATGCAAGGGTGCTCGGCTACGGAGGGCTACAAACACCGACGCCTTGTGCATTTCGGCTTTGTACTTCTTCTGCGTGTTCATGTGCAGGTGGTTCAGCTGCAGCAGCTCGAGATGGCGCAAGAACATGGATTTGATGGCCTGGCACATGGCTTGCAGTGTCTAGTACACAGCAATCACTACTTGGAGGATCATGGGACTTAGTAAGTAAGGTTATAGGTACCCTAATTGGGGTTATAATTATAGTTACCTTATTTACAACCCTAGTGCCTAAGTCCCATGATCCTCCAAGTACACACAAGTCAGGCATCAATCCCTCATTGTCCTTGTCATTCCCTGCCCTGCTTACTCTCGCTTAGAACGCTAAGCCGGAAACCGGGCAGGGCAGACTGCTGGAGTGGTGCAGACGACGGCCGCGTCACGCTGAGCGTCGAAGAGCTGCATTTTGATCAACTGCACATCGAAAGGATCATCCTGCTCAGAGACTGACAGACGAAGATTTAGTGTGTAGGGCTTGTAGGGCGTGGGGTTTAGAGTTTGTATACTATGTTGCTATCACTTCACTTATCCGCGCCTGCATTGGCGATTCTCGTCCGATGCATACCATGTACATACGTGTCCTATGCAGCACATGAGGGAATGTGAAGTATGAACTTCATGCCAGTATGTGTGTACAGTTATCGGTGCAACCACGGCTTTTCGGCTTGACGAAGGAACTGCTAGAAGCGGAACTGCAGCATTGCATTGATTTGAATAGAAGATGTCCTTGTGCCCACGGACCAGACCCCCGAACCCTCAAGTCCTGAGCAGCACAAGCCACGACCTCCCGTGGCAAAAGCTATCCATTGAGACGCTGAAGCCCCAAAAAAACTGAACTCAAGTCCTAAGCAACCCAGGGCTCTGATTTGGACGTGGGAACCTCAGAAAACTCCACCGCCTGCCAAAACCAAAGCCGACCATCGTTTCGGCCCAGCTACGGTAAGTTATCTGTTCAGCTTATTATGGCTTCCTTCGAGGCCGTTTCGGGGCTCCGGCCCTAAACCCCGTAGACCTCCATAGACTTTATAGGGCTTAGGGCTTACTTCAACCCTAAACCGGCAAGAGAACCTGTCCTGCCCCATCATTCTGCTGAACTCCAGGGTCACCACGCGCTTGGCCAGGATCTGACCAAACATCTTCCTTGGAACTGCCCGGCCCACAACAAAGGGGGCTCTATAATTCGAACAAGGCTTTGGGGGTTTACAGTAGTGTTACTGAGTTAAGGAGTCGTAGAGAATACTGTTACTGATCAAGAGTGACCGGGTCATAGAGTGCTTATCAATGCCATATTTCGATGTCATGAACTGTTTCTTCGCTGTCCGGGCGTGCAGCCCCAAGAGAAAAGGGAAGCACATAGGAAGCAGCCCGGGCCCGTTCGCACTTTCATGGTTACCATGATAACGATCGCGACACTCTAGGCCTTTTTGTGATGCCCACGATCTGCATGTATCGGCCCCTATACTCCCTCCCCCACTCCCCCTTCACCACCCGTAAGATGAGACCTGCTTTGCCCAACAAAACCCCCAAACGCGATGCCAAGCTTCCGCATCACGTTCCGTGTCTGCGCCAACAAGGCCTTGGGCACAATGTTCAGCACCAGGCGGCCGTCGTTGCCCAGCCTTTAAACGGTTGCTGTAAGGGTTCCTTTCAGGCTTCCTTGAAGTGCTTCGATAAAGGCACCTCTATGGAGTTCCTCCCACGGTTCCTACAGGGGTTACTGGGTTTTATGAAGATTACTATGGTCTCGGCTTTGGGGCTGCGGGGCTTTCGGGGTTATAGGGGTCAGGGCGTTCGTGCCGTTACGGCTCTAGGGTTAGGGTAGCAGGTTTACAGGTTCAGTTGGGTTCTAGGGAAAGGAAGCAGCACTTGCAATAGTAGCGCGAAACAAGGAGATGCGAGGGAGACAGTGAGTGCCAGCAAGAAGGTAGCAAATGCCAACTCTTCGCGGGATTTGTTATGTTTATGTACACACTTGTTCAGCCAAATGCAGGTCAAACCTGCGAAGCACAGACGAGGAGAGGTCAGGACAGGAGGTGAAAGGCTATTATCATAATGTACGTGTTCCTAGATAGGAGTGGCAGATGTTGTTGCAACAGCAAGTGTCTCATGCTGCTCGTACTGCGATGACACGTGAAGGGAAAACGCCACCTGAATTGGTAGCTGAATCGTTCTACAAACGAATGGCAGCTGCGCGCAGGTCTACTTCAGCTTGGTCCGACTACCTGGCAGGCACTTAAATTGCATGTCTAATCCATGCCTGCAATATGGGGGTTCCAGAAAATAACGGACCCTTGATCTGGACCCTGAACAGTAGAATCAGCAGGATCCTTGTTATAGGGACGCTCCCAAACAAGGTATCGAACACTGATTTCAAGAACCTGTCGTGTCGTTTCGGCAGGGTTCGGGGCTGAAGCATGTCAGGGCCAGGGATTCGGGTTCAGGGTTTAAAGGCTTGGGGTTTAGGGTTCAGGGTTTAGGAAGTTTAGGGCTCGTTATTACTTGTCTAATTCTTCTTCTTGTTATTAGTATTCCGGCGAGCCGCAGCAAAGTCAGCATTGGAGCAATGCATGTGGTCTTGCCCGCACCTGAATGCCGAAGGTGGTTCAGGGATGTTTATGGCTTTAGGGTCTGCTGTTCAGGCTTCAAGGGACGATGTTTTCTTCAGGGTTTGAAGGTATAGCAGTATAGGGTCAAGTTTTAGCCTTGTAGGTGGGTACAAGGGGATGAAGTACGCATGCAGCTATCCGACATATTTGGACTGCAATTCAGAGTTCAAGGCAGGATAGCCGGCAAATCCAGAATATTACGTCATACGTGGTTTCCATTAACTAACTGTTTGTGGCGAAGTTTCTCACAATATCAAGACTGATAGCCATTATGATCGTCACAGCCATTTTTCCAGCCATCCTTTTCGTGTTAGCCTCGCGCAGGTCAACGCACTAAGGGAACACTGAAAAGGTCTTGAAATCAACGGTCTGACTGCATGAGCAACAAAACCACCCCCAAATCCAAACCATGAACCACTGAATTCAAGAGGGCTTGCTACAGTAGTGAAAGGTACGACAGCTCGGCCCTACATTCATCCTGACAACCTGAACACCCCCGACCCTGAACAGTTGAAGGCACTGGCAGCGTCGACAGTCCCAACAATACTAGGTAGCAACATGAACAGAGCAATGATTATAGCCCTCACACCCTGTTCGCCTTGAAACCCTTGACCAACTCCTAATTCCGATCTCCTCAACACTTTGACCCTAAACCTGCAGACCTCCAACAACATAAAAGCTCTAAACTCAGCTTCGGTGCCCTCAACCCCTAAAAACCCTAAACAGCTTTGGTGCTCAAAACCCTTGAGCCACTAAAAAGACCCAAACTCAGCCTCGGTAAACTGAACCCCGAAGCCCAAAACCCCCAAAGCTTTAAAACTACTTAAACTCAGCTTGGATTCCCTAAACCCCCAAAACACCCCCGACTCAACTTCGGTGCGCTCAGTAAAGCACCCTTGATATGCCAAATCCGCGTCTAAACCCCTAACAAACCAGACCCAAACCCAGCTTCGGTGCCCTATAAGCTCCTTTAACCCGCCAAATCCTCTCCTACACCCCAAGCAGAACGAACCCAAACTCCCTCTTCTACACCCTAACAGGACAAACCCAAACTCAGCTTCGGTGCCCATGATCATCTGCGCCACCAGTGAGCGGCCCTCAGAGGCTTCCTTGGCGAAGGTCTGGATCAGCGTGACCTGGCTCTCTTTAGAGCGGAGGTGCATTATGTTGTAGAATATTCTACGGTTTCATATAACCTTTTTTTGAGGCTTTCATGTCATGTCTGAAAGGTTTCATGAACTTTTTCTGGGCTTCACACGCGTTTTTGAAGGGCTTTTGGGTTCATAAGGACTTTTCGTAAGGCCCCCTAGCAGTTCGAGCAGGGTTTCGGGCGACGGTATACTATAATGTATAGTTACAAATGATACAGGGACTATACAGGGGATACCATTTTACTATCAAGTCAAACCGTCACATTATGGGTTTAGGGTTTTGCATCCAGGGCTGTACGGTTCCTTCCTCCTTCCTTCCGGACGACTGAGGAAAGAAGACTATATCCGAAAAGGTTCCAAGCTCCTTCTACTTCGCGTCAATTGCTGCTAAAACCAAAAAAGCGCCGAAAACAACACGGAACCGACCTGCTGCTTCCTCACCAGGAAGCCCGTGACGTACTCGAACCTGGCCGTCGAACCGTCTTCGAATATCGGCTTAAAGCCCTAACTCTCCAGGTACCTACTATATACTGCCTTAGGGGCCCTGGTACCCTATATAGTAGGCAACTGGGGGTTTAGGGAAGAGAACCTCTAGGACTTGGAATTGTTGAGTTCAGGGTTCTGGTTAAAGGGTTCTGGGTTTGGGAGTTTACGATTTGTGTTAGGGGGGTTGGGCTTAGGGCTGTCGGTTTTGGGTTTAGGGATTTAGAATCGGCGTAGAGAACTCGCCACTACCAAACCTGTAGCTCCGTGACCTAGGCATCCTAGGCTAGCAGGAAGGCTCGGAAGAAGCTGGAAGACTATATCCTTGTAGCGCCGATAGTTGTACCATAATATGGCCCCCAAACCCTCTTCTAGCTTTTGAGGTCATCACATTACCTAGTTTTGGGACGTGTTAGGTTTGAGAATTTAAGATTTAAGGGTAGGCTATGCCACGCCACAGAGTATGAGGTGGCCTTCAGTCCCGAAGTAGTTGCCCCAAGGAACGTGCAACCCCGTAAAGCCAGAGGACCTACATCCAGTGGAGTCAGTGGGTCGGTGGAGGAATTGAACCTTCGAACATCGACAAAGGTGATACGGTTGATGGACAAAATCCTGCATGACCTTATATACCTTAACTATGGGATTTATGGTATTCTACTATACTTGGGTCATGCAGAATTTTGTCCATCAACAGTACCAGTACTTTGCTCCCCTTCCCACTGCTCAGGCTTCGGGATGCCCATGTTCAGCTTTTCCGAAACCCAGCCACGAAACGCTAGAACTAGCTCAATGCCGAAACCCGAAAGTTCCCGTAACCTAAAACCGACAGTGACGGTGTCACAGGCAAACACCTGAAACATAATATCAATAAGAACCATGTAATACAGAGTAATACAAATCCCCGAAACGGGCTATATAGCAATCTATGAAGGCCCTAGAACAACCCCAATGCACGAAGCATCACGAACTGGTAGCTCCCGGGGCTCCGACAGCAGAAATGCTGGGGAGATGTCTGTACTGCCGCCAGCATCGGTGTAGTTCCTCCGCGCAATTTCGGATTCTTGGGTTTACGAAGGCTTATTGTAGGGCTGCTACCAAGCTGCTACTGTAGGGCTCAGGGGTTGGGGGGGGCTGCGTTTTAGGGTTTCAAGGTGGAGAACACCGAAAACCTTGAAGAGCACCCAAACGAATACAAACAGCCGTGAAAACGGACCAAAACACCCAATCCAAACCCTAAACTTCACATCCGAACCCCAACACCCTAAAAGCCGCAAAAGAGGAACGCGCTGCCCCTGCACCCGAGACCCTAAACCCTAAACCCCAAAACGCTAAACCTGGGAACCCCAGTCTCTCCTCTTGCACCCCAAGAACACGGCCAAACGACCAGCCAGCGTCTGCAGCTCCTGGTGCGGCAGGGGCGTGCCTTCTTGCTGCGGAACCCTGCTCAGGCTTCACTGAGGGCCTACTACGGGGCTAAAAGGGGGCCTTCATCTTTCGAATGGGCTTTCCCGAAGCTCTAAACCAGGGTTCCAAATCGAGGGTGCACTTTCGGGACAGTTACTCAGTTAGACGACTTCTAAAAGAAGTTTCGGATTTTGCAGGGGCACCTCTGGAGGATTCAAAGAACCTAGAAGCAAACACACTCTAAACCCTACACCCTGCCTAGACCCTCTCCTAAAGCCTGAACCCGAATCCTGATTACTCCGAAATCTGGACCCAGAATCCCGGAAAAACCGTCAGCCAAGCGTCTCTCGATCCTCTGGGAACTCTGAGTCGTCCGAAAGTCAACACGTCGAATCCAAAGACCGCAAATCCGCTTACGGTAGGAATTTTCCATAAATAAATCGATATTCAGGATCCGTCGTTTGTGCAAAGTTCCTGAAGTATTTAATCAGCTTTGTCGTCTCGGGGCACTCCTGATTCCAATGCTGGCTTTTTGAGGCACTGGTGTTTGGCTTCCGTGTTCAGGTTTACGTCTAGGGCGGCCAGGGTTTCGATACACCTTCACAGCTGGGGCATGCGAGAGGCCTGGCCGTAGATTGGTCCAAAGCTTTATGCTGGTCTTGACAGCAAAATACTGGGTTTAGTGTCGGCAATCGGATTCTATTGCAGAGTCCTTGGAGACCACCTCGTCCATCCCAGTCTTCCTTGCAAGCTGCTGCTCTTTGGAAAGCCCGGCCAACAAGCGGTGTTTGCGCAGTGATCTCTCGGTCTTTTACGGCTGAACTTTTTGTTGATGGGACCTTCCAGGGAGGGAAATATGCCCATTGATCATACTTTGAGTTGGGGGACTGTACGTCCGAATCTATCGAATGCAGGTACTGTCCCGAATGCCACGACACGGGGCAAGGCGTGAGTATTGTGGGACTCTACGTATTCGTCACGAGACCCACGGACGATATGCTGGCATGTGAATCGGCTTTTTGGCCAAGAGCATATGAAAGCAACATCCTTTAAACATCCCACGGGGCACAAACAAACAACCCCACGGTCAACCAGCTCGAGCATCGGGTCTTGTCGGGGGCCAGGTTCGACCTTAAAGGCCTTTCCATTGCATAAGCCGACGAAACCGGCGACGGTGGCAGAAAACGGCTTTTTCGATACATATGTTCCGGGAAAAACGGATACCGAAAACGGCATACATGCTCCGTGAAGCCCTTCAAACGAAAGTTGATGCTCGGTGGAGTCCTGGCAACACCTTTGAAGAAGATCGGAGGTACCACAGTCACACGCATCTACACACACCCACCCAAACAGCTTGAGGAATCAGGGCTCCGAACCCAGCAAGCTAGAGTACAGAACTTTGAAAAGAGCCCTTCCAGGAAGCCTCACAGGAAGCCTTATAGGAATCCCACAGGCTTGAGGAACCTCCTAAACCCGAGGCCATGAACCCTAAAGCCTTCAAGGAACCGACCCTTAACGGAACCCCGTAGAATCCCTAGAAATCCCTAGAAATCCCTAGAAACCCCTTCAAATCCCTAGAAATCCCTAGAAATCCCGAGAATTCCAACACAGAAAAGCCCCCTGAAAACCTTAGCCCAGGAGCTCCGCTCGCCGGATCGCCGAACGGAGGTCCTCCCCAGGCTTTTTATTTCGGGAGGCCTTTAGAGGACTACTATGGGATTTTAAGGTTTTTGTTTTTTTGAGGGCCCTTTTGATGGCTTTTGAGGTTTGAGGTCTTGGGTCCTTGGGTTTGGAGATTTTTTTAGGGTGGGGGTCTAGGGTTTAGGAGCTTGAGATTCAGGGTTTCGGCGTCAGGATAAGCATGGCAATACTGGTAAGGATGATCTTGATAGTAATAATGCTCACGATAATGGCAGTTTGATGCGGCTGCCGCCGATGATGATGATGATGGTGATGGTGATGATGATGATGATGACGATGATGATGATGATGATCATGATAATG